GACATCAAGATTGTGTCGCAACTTGTGATGTGTCCAGTATGGCAATTCTGAAAATATACTTTTTTTGTGCCAATTATGATATTCACCGTATCCTTCAATCGGCAAATGACCATTTCCACCGACTTCTGCAGTAACCCCTAACCCATGTGATCTCACACAATCTTCGATCCGTTCGAATAATATTTCATCTCCCGTAAGTTCAAGCGGACTAGAATCACTTACCACCCGATTCTTACGAAAATTCTTCTTGTTCCGGCGCAATGCATGATTTCTTGGTAAGAAACGACGATGACAATGAAACCAACTCATTTTTCTCCCGTTCGGCAACCAAAATGCATCGGTCTCATCCATACAATACGGACAAACTAGACGACCATGCGTTGTCCAACCAGACAACATCGAATATACTGGAAAATCACTAATTGTCCACATCAGTACGGCACGAAGCAAAAAATTTTGCTTTATTGACACGTCATATGCCTCTACCCCAATACTCCAAAGGTCTTTCAACTCTTCTATCAACGGTTGAAGGAAAACATCCAAACTCCTTCTAGGATGTTTAGGTCCCGGAACTAATATTGAGAGAAATAAAAACTCTCTATTCATGCACATGTCCGGAGGTAAATTGTACGGTGTTAAAATCACCGGCCATAGAGAATAATTTGGACCAGACATCCGTTGGATTAAATCCATCAGTGCATAATGCTAGATATATGTTTCTAGCCTCACTTGCAAAATCAGGAAATACCTGTTGAAAGTGTTTCCAAGCTAAACTGTCGGATGGATGATGCATTTCTCCATCATGCGTCGAATGTTCGCCATGCCACCGCATATGTGATGCTGTCTTTTCGGATTGATATAACCTCTTCAAACGATCTGTTATAGGCATATAAAACATTCTCTTCAAAGGAATTAACTTGCCTTTCTTTGAAGCTATTCGGCGTGATCGATATCTGGCTTTCCCACAAAAACGACATTCCATCAATTCCGCATCTTCTTTCCAAAAAATCATACAATTGTCTTCATAAACATCAATCTTTCGGTAAGGTAGACCCAACATACGCATCAGACTCTTCGTCTCATAATATGATTATGTTGCAGTGTTTCCTTCTAGAAGATACTGTTTAACCATCTGACTGAATCCATCCATGCATCTCTCCGGAAGATTGTAGTCAGTCTTCATATTCATCAATTGTGAAGATAATGATAATCTTGACAGCCCTTGTACGCAACCTTCATATATCGGAGTGTTCGCCGCGTTAAGCATATCATAAAATCTTTTCGTTTCAACATTTGGCTCTTCCTCCATATATGGAGAAAGAGCAATGTTGGGAAATGCATCATTCACCATCTCTGCATATAGATTTCGGTCTTGATCTTCTTGAAAGATCGAAGGTTGCGCCGTATTTTGCACAAGTTGTTCTTGCATTTGTGAAACATGTGATGATGATGACGTATCATACGTTTCTCCATGAGCAAGCCAAACAAAATAGTTTGACAGAAAACCTCTTCTAGGTGCTTGCAAACTTCTAACTGACTTCGCCATCTTTTATTCTCGCATTTTAAGCACAGACATGGTAACTTCGAACTCTCAACATACGACGTTTGACTTGTTGCAAACGCCATAAAATGTTGTAACCCTTCAGCAAACTCACTGGAGATTTGATTATTAGAAGAATCAAAACTATTATACATCTACATTCTGGATGAGAAAGGCATTTTTTTGTAAGAGAAATTTTTTTCTTGTGAATTTTTTTTTATTTTGTTATCTTGGCCCGCGCGGTGGTTTTATAGAACTTATATTGCGACGGACTTGCGACCGAAAATTCTGTCGTAAATATTTTGCGACAAACCGACGACAGAATTGCGACAGATATTAGGTGACACACCAAACACGTGTCTACCTAATATTGCGACTCACCGAATTAGTCGCAAATCTGTCGCGTGTGACACCCGAATCCCGCATCCCGTGAAGAGGATATGCCACGTGGACAAAAACCAATAAAATATAATAAAACCCAAAGTACAGGAATTAAAAACCGTTTTTTTTAATACAGATACGCAGCGGAATAAAATCGTCACATGTTTTTCGAAAACAACAATGTCCAAACACACAATTAAACACAACCGTTTCTACACGGAACCTTGTTCCACAAACCAAAACGTACAAAATAGGATCAGTTATCCGTACATAATGATGCCTTCACAAAGTCGTCGCCGTCCAAAGTGCGCTACTCGTGCTCCTCGGGATCTGAAAAATTCAACAAAAAAGGGCTAAGCAAAAAGCTTAGTGAGCGGCTCGGGTTAAGCCCGGAGAGCCCATTCTCATGGAGAACGGTGCCAACTAATCTCTCAATACAAGAATTTCCTTTTCATCCATTTAACTTTTTCTCATTAACCCCTTTTAATACATTATCATTATTCCATATATTTTCGATACCTGATAGTACTGACTCAAGTCGTCCACCGGCACCATCAGGTACCATTCCTTTCGGTATCATCTAGTACTGACTCAATTCGTCTACCGGTAGTAGACTCTACCCTACTTCTCTACCAGCCTTTATCAGAGCCGTCTCATAGGGAGTGCCCGGTCCGAAGGCTCTGCGTTCCCCGATCTCGGTCCAGCATAGTGGCGTCTTGCATGGCCTCCCGTACAGTGCTTCATACGGTGATACCCCAATACTCGCGTGATGACTGTTGTTGTATGCGAACTCACACAACGTCATGTACCGATCCCACGGAACTCCCCATTCTAGTACACATGCTCGGAGCATGTCCTCCAAGGTTTGGATGGTTCGTTCCGACTGGCCGTCAGTCTGGGGGTGATACGCTGTGCTCATCTTCAACTTCGTACCCAACGCTCCCTGTATAGCCTTCCATAGACGAGATGTAAATCGAGCATCTCTATCGGATATGATTTCACTTGGCACTCCATGCAGCCGTATGATTTCATCGACGTATATTTGTGCCAATCGCTCGATCGTGTACTCCTGTCTGATAGGGATGAAGTGAGGAATTTCATCAATCAGTCCACAACTACCCAAATGGCATTTTTCTTACTCGGGGTAAGTGGTAACCCAATCACAAAATCCATCGCAATAGAATCCCATTTCCATTCCGGAATTTCCAACGGTTGTAGTTTACCACCCGGCATCTGTCGTTCCGCTTTCACTTGCTGACAGGTAAGGCATCTTGCTACGAAATCAGCCACATCCCTCTTGATTCCCGGCCAGGTGTACCACCGTTGTAATCCTTGGTACATTTTACTCGCCCCGGGATGTATAGCTAGTCTGGACTGATGTGCCTCCGATAATATCTCCCGTCTCAACACCTGGTCATCTGGCACACATAGTCGGTTACGCAGTCGCAATGCTCTCTTATCATCGATACGGTATCCTTTACGACCGTACTCTTCTATACCGTCCATGTACCAAGCAAGCAAAAGATCGTTACGCTGTCCAGCGACCGCTCGTTCTGCAAAGGTCGGAATTGGTTCCACCGGTGTCAAGGTCAAATGTCCCAGCATAGCTACCAGTTCAGAAGCATTGTTGCGGGACGACGTCACGACATGGTTGACAGACAAAATCTTCTTCCGACTGAGGACGTCAGCTACCACGTTAGCCTTTCCCGGGTGATAAGCAATCTCCAAATCATAGTCGGCAATGAGTTCTAACCATCGTCGTTGCCTTAGGTTCAAATCTATCTGGGAGATTACGTATGTCAAGCTCTTGTGGTCAGTGTTAAGCTTAACATTTTCCCCGTACAAATAGGACCTCTAGATTTTTAAAGCATGCACTACTGCCGCTAACTCCATGTCATGGGTCGGGTAGTTTTCCTCATGCTTTTTCAATTGCCTCGATGCATAGGCAATGACGTGTCCTTCTTGCATCAATACACATCCTAGTCCCTGTTTGGAGGCATCAGTGTAAACTTCATATAGAATTCTCGGGCGCGGCAATGTCAAGATCGGTGCTGAGGTAAGTCTCCGTTTCAGTTCTTGGAAGCTTTCCTCGCACTCCGTGGTCCATTCAAACTTAATGTTTTTCCCGGTGAGCTTCGTCATAGGTCGGGCTATCTTAGCAAAACCTTCCACAAATCTTCGGTAATAGCCAGCGAAACCTAGGAAGCTTCTAATTTCGATTGCAGAGGTCGGGGGCTTCCAGTCTATGACTGCCTCGATCTTAGCCGATCTACCTGGATTCCCTGCGCGGATACAACATGTCCTAGAAATCCAATCTCCTGTAACCAGAAGCTACACTTGCTGAACTTCGCATACAACTTATTCTCATTCAATCTCCACAGTGTTTTCCGCAGGTGATCCTCATGAGTCTGGGGGTCTGGCGAATAGATAAGAATGTCATCGATGAATATGATGACAAACTCATCTAAGTAATCCATGAAGATGCGATTCATCAGCTGCATAAATACTGCGGGAGCATTTGTGAGTCCAAATGGCATGACCACAAACTCAAAGTGCCCATATCGAGTTCGGAATACCGTATTCTGTATATCCTCGGCCTTAACCCGAATTTGGTGGTATCCCGATCGCAGATCGATCTTTGAGAACCATTTAGCTCCCTGAAGTTGATCTAGCAGCTCATCAATTCTTGGCAACGGGTACCGATTTTTTATAGTCACCTGGTTGAGTCCACGGTAGTCAATGCACAATCTCATGCTCCCATCTTTCTTCTTCATGATCAACACCGGCGCTCCCCAGGGCGAGACGCTAGGGCGTATGAATCCCTTCTCCATCAATTCGTTTAACTGTTCCTTCAACTCTGCCATTTCTGTCGGTGCCATCTGGTACGGAACCTTGGTGATTGGTTCAGTACCCGGTAGCACATCAATGGTGAAATCCACCTCTCTGTTTGGCGGTAATCCCGGCAAGTCATCGGGAAAGACATCAGGAAACTCTCGAGCAATCGGAGTATCCTCTAATTTGTTTTCCAGTTCCTTGGTAGCGGTGATGACTACCAGCAATGCTTCATTCCCCTTTTTGATCATCTTTTCGGCCTTGAGTGCCGAAATGATGGGGTTTGTCGATGGTGCTCCTCTTCCCCGAATTCGAACCCACCGCTTGCATCCATAAAACCATATGGTCCTCTTCTGAGAATCAATCTGAGCTCGGTGCTTCGAAATAAATCCATGCCCAATATGATGCTATAACCGCCAATCGGTACCACTATGAGATCTGCGGCCAAGTTACGACCACAGATGTCCAGCGATACATCTCGTAAGGTCCCATGTACCGGGAGTGTCTCTCCCGATGGTGTGCGAACAGTAAAGTCGCTCTTCGTATCTACTCGCTTCATACTTAGTTTCTTTGCTTTTTCTAAGCTCAAGAAACTGTGAGTAGCCCCGGTGTCAAACAATGTATAGCACTCAACATCACAAAGGTGAAGGGTACTTGTGATAGCAGCAGCTTTGTCATCTTCGAGGTTGGTCTCCTCCTCCTGTGCCTCAGTCTCAGGCTCAAGAGCATAAACTTTCGGGGCTGCTCCAGCCCTCGGTGGTGGTCGCGGCTGTCTGGCCATAGGCAATGCATCTGTAGGTGCGGTGCAATTGGCCGCAAAGTGTCTCGGCTGTTGGCATCGGAAATAGGTCAGTGGTCCCCGGTAAGGTGGTGGTGGCAGCGGTAGCGCACCACCAGCAGGTGCTTTCCCCTTGCCCCGTGACTGGCTGCTCTGACCTACCTGGCTGGTCTTTCCCGGAGGTCGGGTGTTGGAGAATCGCCTGATAGGGCTCCGATCTCGGGTGCGCTCCTCCTTCTCTTCCTTTTCTCCTCGTTCTGCCTTCACCAGCTGGCTGATGTAACGACTGAGCGTATGGTACTCGTGGAGTTCTATCTTCCTGCGAAGATAGGGTCGTAGTCCGACAATGAACTTCTGGATCTTTTTGCTTTCCGTAGGTACCAGATGTCCTGCATAGGTCAGCAAACGAGTGAATTCCGCTTCGTATTCGCGAACTGTCATGTTCCCTTGCTGCAGTTGCAAGAATTTCGTAAAGTGGTTGTAGTATTTGTATTCGAATTCCCCCTTGAACTCCTCCCAGGTAAAGCGGTGTCCCTCGGGCATTTCCTGCACCATCTTCTCCCACCAGTGTCGAGCCTGCCCTGCCAGGTGGTGGCTCGCTATCATAGCTCGGTGGCGATGAGGGCACTGGACATATTCCAGGTCTCGAGTAATGGTGGTTAGCCATTCCTCTGCAGCTTCCGGACTCAATGAGCCTTCGAAACGCGGATTATGCATGGCTCGCAATTCCCGGATGATACGAAGATACTCCCTGTCCATTGGGTCTACAGGTGGTGGTGGAGGTAAATCCTCCCCCCTTGGCTCCGGTTCCCCCGCCGGTGGTGGAGGCGGGATGTGAGCCCTCAACGTTTGCATCATCGCCTCTTGGAACTCACGCAGCTCGTTCCTCAATTCGTTCCTCATCTCTTCTTGGAACTCCTTGAATCCATCAGTACGGGGGTCATGGTTGGGTACGATGTTGTCTCCGTGATTGACCGAGTGCGTCGTGGTGCCATTTCACTGCATCACGTGGTTGTACTTAGTAAACGATGACTAGTAGAACGTCATTATGTATGGCATTTTGTAAAACAGTTTTCTTTTAAAATGATTATCGAAAAACACTTTTCAGTGTGAAAACCTTAAGGGTATGAGTCATTCTTTCCCGTGGATAGAACGTTGCTCTGATACCAAACGTTGTGATACCCGAATCCCGCATCCCGTGAACAGGATATGCCACGTGGATGAAAACCAATAAAATATAATAAAACCCAAAGTACGAGAATTAAAAACCGTTTTTTTTAATACAGACACGCAGCGGAATAAAATCGTCACACGTTTCTCGAAAACAACAATGTCCAAACACACAATTAAACACAACCGTTTCCACGCGGAACCTTGTTCCACAAACCAAAACGTACAAAATATGATCAGTTATCTGTACATAATGATGCCTTCACAAAGTCGTCGCCGTCCAAAGTGCGCTACTTGTGCTCCTCGGGATCTGAAAAATTCAACAACGGAGGGCTAAGCAAAAAGCTTAGTGAGCGGCTCGAGTTGAGCCCGGAGAGCCCATTCTCATGGAGAACGGTGCCAACTAATCTCTCAATACAAGAATTTCCTTTTTATCCATTTAACTTTTTCTCATTAATCTCTTTTAATACATTATCATTATTCCATATATTTCTGATACCTGATAGTACTGCCTCAAGTCGTCCACCGGCACAATCAGGTACCATTCCTTTCGGTATCATCTAGTACTGACTCAATTCGTCTACCGGTAGTAGACTCTACCCTGCTTCTCTATAATAGTACTGACTCCACCACGTCAACTGGTACTATTATAGAGACGACCACTCAGATCCACCAGTACTGACTCCACGCCGTCAACCGGTACTGGTATTACATTTCAGCAATAGTACTGACTCCAAGTTCATCAACCGGTACTATTACCGAAACCACACATCCTCCAGTGCTGACTCCAATTTCGTCAACCGGCACTGGTTCCATATCCACACATCCCCGTACTAGTACTGGCTCACGTCGTCAACTGGTACTAAGTACGGGTTCCATTACTCATTCAATCGCATGCTTTATCATAATTATATATAACCATTTATATCCATATTACCCTTTCCGAGTTTTCCTCTAGATTTATCCTTCGTTTTCACTTCGGTTTGCGGATTAGTACCTTTCTTTATGTGCACTTCTACCTTTTTCATATTCGTTCGACATACTCGTTTAATCCTAGTTCGTTTGATTACCATTTAACACTGTATTACAGTTTAATCCATTAGAATCTATGGTCGGGGTTGCAGCCAGTCCGTTCGGTCCACGTAACCGAACGGTCCAGCCATTTTGGGATTTTCACTATTCATTCGCCTGGACCGGTCGGTCTAGGGACAGACCGTCCGATCTAGGCATTTAGATTGTTTAACTCCAATTTTTACCCCTAGACCGATCGGTCTGGGAATAGACTGGTCGGTCTAGGTCATTTTCAGACCGATTCCTCATCCGTGACCTAGACCGGTCGGTCCAGTCCTAGACCGATCGGTCTAGGACCGTATGGACCGAACAGTCCCGCTCTCTCCAGTCCGCTCGTTCTGTCCGTGGACCAGACCGGTCGGTCTGGGACCTGGATTTCGTCTTCTCCGCGAGGTTCATCCCGTTTTCCGCCATTTTTGCCCAAATTTCGATCCGATTTCAGTCCTAATTGTTACCCACTCTATATATATCATTCCTAGGTCCTTAACTCTTGTAGAAACACTAGTCTACACCATAAATCATGAAAATAGAATCTCACAAACACAATCCAAACCACTCACATCGGGTTTCTGCAAGGTGTGATTTTGTCTGAGCTCGTGTGCGTTCTTCGGGCCGTCTCTGGTCGTGAAATCTTCCAGGAACCTCCTAGAGGTGTCCCTCTTTGATTCCCCGAACTAGTTTCGCCTCAAATCTCGCTAATCTCTCCCTTTTCCTCTCTTTCTGGTTCTGTAAGTTTTTGCTCGAAAATGGCTGAGGAAGAGTTTTGGGGACGCATTTAGAGACTCGTTGGTGAGCTAGAGGACGAGGGGGCGTCGCTGGCAGTGAGTGGTGTCTCCCATGCATAGCTCATGGGCGGGGACGGCCAGTGGGGCACCACAGGGTCGTCAAAAGTCGCGGCAAAAGGTATTGCAGACAGCCTGGTGCTGTCGTCCGCCTAGACCGACCGGTCTGGCCCCGGACCGTCCGGTCTGGCTCTTGAACGTGCAGACCGATCGGTCTGCTCTCTAGACCGGTCGGTCTTGGCCAAATTTTCGTCTTTTTCTCCGTTTCTCGCTGGACCGATCGGTCTACCTATGGACCGATCGGTCTAGCCCATTTTTCCTTCGTTTTTTCCGACGTTTTCGACGCGTTTTAGTCCCGTTGATCCCTTGGTTCGATTTTTATGCCCATCACCTTATATTTTAGACTTGTGTTATCCTATTTTTATTCCCGAATTTAATTTAAATAATTTATTCGGGACTCGGGGTATTACATCGCGTTTATTATGCGACACATTATTTATGTCGTTAATGTGTCGTACAATATTTACGACCAACACATCGGTCGCAAATTGTGTCGGTACTTAGCGACAGACGGTTTGTCGTAAATTTTCCGTCGCTGTCTGTCGTTATTCGGTCGCAAATATCTGCGACAGAATTGTGTGTCGTCATCTGTCGTAATTTTGCGACAGATTGTGCGTCCGTTTGCAACAGAAATTATTTTTCGCAATTCTGTCGCTATTTAGTCATTGTCCGTCGCAAAAATTGGAGCGACAGATCTGTCGGTCGCAAGGGTTGTCGCAAATAACACTTTTTCTTGTAGTGCCATCTTCCCTAAAAACCCTGCAAGAGAGAGGAGGTCAGCCATTGTTGCTGGAGAGAGTGCAGAGAGGAAAAACAGAGAAAAGTGAGGAGAAGAGGGAGGAGGAGAGGAAGAAATGGGGAACGGAGCTCGGTGGAGCAACAAGGGACTGCCCTAGAACGTTTGAGAGGATCGCCGACGTCGGAATCGCCGGAAAACTCCAACAAATCTGGCCAAAACCAAAAACAGTTCTGGTTTAAGGTGAGTGACTCGAGTTGCCTCTGTGTGAGCTCATTTTCATCGTTGTTATGGTGTAATTCGATGAAAACTAGGCATGAATTCGAAAGTGAAAGTTTCAATGAACACATTGAAACAAACGACACTCGATTTGGTGAAGGAACGAGTAAGATATGAGAGTTTGAAAATCGAAGAAAAACTGAAAATTTCATAGAAAAACGCAAGCCCATCCTATGTCCAAGACTTTCGGGTCATTACCTAGAAAATAGGTGTGATAAATGAATGAATGAATGGATGGTTAGAATCAAAAGAGGACATTTCAACGAACATTTAGAAACAAACGGCACTCAATTTGGACAAGAAACGAGTAAGTTATGAGCCAACGAAGTCGGACCAGAATATGGGACGAAAATCACGAAGTCGCGATCTATCTCCAGGCTCTGGACCGACCGGTCCAGACCCTGAAAATGCCAGAAATGCCCGAAATTGCCTGGACCGATCGGTCCAGACCCTGAAAATGTCGGAAACACCCGAAATTGCCTAGACCGACCGGTCCAGACCCTGGGAATGAGTTTACCGGATCTAACCCGGATCATTCACTAAGTAGTTGTGCTTAGCCCTCGTGGTTTCACCTTTTTCAGATCACGAGGAGCACAAGTAGCACGTTTGGGGTGACGAAGACTTCGAACAGACAACATCGTGTACAGAGTTTTCCTTATTTGTAAGATTTGAACTATGGGAGACGATCTCTATGTTTGTACGGTTGTACCTTTTCAATTCGGAAATGTGTGTTTTAAGACTTATCTGTTGTTCAATTCCGCTGCGTGTTTAAAATTAAAAAGTTTTAAAGTTTCCGTATTTCTGGGTTTGCATTATTTTATTTGTTTTTCGTCCATGTGGCACATTCTGTGACGGGAATCGGGATACGGGTGTCACAAAACAAAACTTGGCTGATGCCCTTACCAAGAGTTTGTCGACGGACATGTTGCACAAAATGACAATAGGGATGGGTCTTGAGCCTATTGATTAAATCACAATTAGAAGAATCTCAACTCAACGTCTAATACAACGTTAGATCTTGAGTTCAATGAGTTAAATCATCTAATGTGTGGTTGTAGATGCTTAGAAGTGAATCATCCCGAGGTAAGCATCTTGGTATGCAACGTAAAGAGGTTGTTTATACTTAACGAATTCTTTGACAAAATGTTTAGTTGCAGAGCACGATTTGAAAGAATTCACCTATGCAAGCATGAAGTGTGGACACTTCAAGATGTTGGAGGCTCGACATCTATGTGCTTGTGAAGGGGATATGAACACATGGCCGATATAGTGTCAAGGAGTACAAGAAATTGTATTGATTATGTGTGTGTATATACTCGGTAGCTCAACTAGGATTACATAGGTTCAATTGTTTTCGACACCTATGGAATTCGAGTATATTGATGTATATTACACTAAGTGAAAGTTCAATCGTAAAGACACTTTCATTTATGCGCAGAATTGTGGAGATGAATGATTATTTGCTTGATATGCCATTGTTTAATTTACTCTAAAATGGTGGAGGATTGTTGTGATTTTTAGAGTAAATGAATGGGAATTTAGAATCTTTCAAAAGGATTCATGCTTCACGTGTATTACGAGTATGGTGGAGGAGTTAAATGCTTGTAAAAGACATGCCATGAATTGGTTAAGTGTTAAGGATTCGTCGGAAGAGTTTACGTTCGGTTTTGAACGTGAAGAGTGATCTCAGAAAAAATGGCAGGGCAGCTCGAAAACATGGGAGGGCAGCCTGTTTTTTTCTGAGGAATAAAGTCAAGAAATAAATGGGCGGTAGCTCGAAAAAACGGGAGGGCAGTCCGTTTTTT